ATAAATTGCTGAAACGGGGAAGACAAATACTCTAGGGCATTATCACTACGAAATGTGCGGATAGAAACGCCAAATTGATTTTGAATTTCAGCATGGAAGGTCTGGAAAATAGAAAACAACTCAGAACGGTTTTTCATCAAAAATATCCAAGTGCACCTGGAATAATCATCAATTAAACTGACAAAGTAGTAGAATCCTGAGGTAGAGCTAACCCGACTAGGACCCCAAACATCTGAATGGACTAAAGTAAAAGGTGACTCTGCTCGATAGTCAAGACGCCGCGGGAAATGAGAGCGGGTATGCTTACCGAGCTGACACGACTTACACTCTAGAGTGGACAAGTGAGATAAGCCAGGTACCATTTTCCGAAGTTTTGACAAACTGGGATGTCCTAACCGTTTATGTAATAAATCTGGTGAATCAGTAACGGGAGAAGTTATTGGAGGAAGACAAGATGCGAGTCCATGTGATTTTGCAAGGATAAGGTAATAAAGTCCATCTGATTCACGTCCGGTACCAATGATCCGCCCTGTACTGCGTTCCTGTACAAAAATAAGGTCATCAAGAAATAGAGCAGCAGATTTAAGTGATTTGGCTACGACTAACGGCTATGAGATTAAAAGGACTACCAGGAACATAAAGAACTGAGTCTAAAGGTAAGGAAGGAAGTGGACTTGCTTGACCTATTGCAGTTGCCATGGCTTGAGACCCATTGGCCATTGTGACTGTTGGAAGAGATTGAGAATATGAGATACTAGTGAAAAGAGATTTGTTACCAGAAATATGATCAGATGCACCTGAATCAATGACCCAAGACTCAGAAGGTGAAGATTGGGAAACACCAGTCATGCTACTATTTGTTGGAACCACGGAGGTTAATCCTGAAGATGTCTGTTTACGTGCTTTGTACTGAAGGAACTCAATATAATCCGGTAAAGAAACCATCTGGATTGGATTTATTGCATTTAATCCAACGGATTGTGAGTTAAAGGCTTCCGATACGAATTCCATTATAATATCGTGCCGGAAAAAGCAGAAATTTTCTGGGGATCACTGTAGCTGTCGGAAAAAATTCAAATTAGTCGGAATTGAAAATAAAATTATGGGTAGGCTCGGAATTTGAGGGCGATCCAACTGCCCTGAAGGAACTTTGTCAAAAAATGGCCGGAAGTGGGCGTACGCGCCGGCGCGTGGGTGTCACGCGCTCGCCGAAAAATTTCTTCTGCCGGCGCGTGTGGGCGCGTGACAGCTTTTCTGCCGGAGAAATTTTAGAGGGTTGGTCGCCGACGAGTGATCTACCTCGTCGTGGTGTTGGCTTTTGCACAACACCGATAGAAAGTGACTTGATTACGGGCAGCCTTCTAAGTCGCCGGAAAATTGCACGGCGACGAGATCTTTCTTCCCGGAAGTCGCTGGAATGATGCACAGCGATAGGTTTCTCACTAATGCTCTGATACCATGTGAGAAAGCACGGGAGAAAATATATTATTGATTAATAATGACAATGATACACTGAGCCCTATATATATATAAAATACATGTCCTACTCCTAATACATATGGGATTAGGGTTATATACTACTATTTATACAATAAAACTAACAACAGGTATCAATCCAATCCTGGAATAGATCATTGGAAAGCCGTGAAGTGAATTTTTAGATACCTGAAGGGAACTGCAGATTATTCACTATGTTATAGTGGAAATGATTTATACTTGAGAGGATATACAGATGTTGATTGGGCTGGTGATCGGAATGATAGAAAAACAACATTCGGTTATGCCTTCTTACTTAATGGTGGTGCTATATCATGGAAAAGTAAGAAACAAACCTGTACAACCCTTTCAACAATAGAAGCTGAGTTCGTGGCTTGTGCGTTTGCAGTACAAGAAGTTGTTTGGTTGAAGAGATTCTTTGAACATTTTGGATATTACAAAGAACTTTCAGGGCCCCATGACTTTATATTGTGATAGTCAAGCGGCTATTGCATATACAAAAGATCCTAAGTATCACAGCAAGACCAAACACATTGACATCAAGTATAACTTTGTGAGAGACATAGTAGCAAGTGGAGAGATAAATTTACAGTATATTCCTACGTGAAACATGATAGCTGATCCTTTTACAAAGACGATATCTAGAGATCTGTTTGAGAAACATGTTATGGCTCTAGGTTTGTGAAGGATATGAACATATTTATGTATTGTAAAATGACTTAAGTATTATAATGTGCTCATCAATATTTGACTCTTGAATTATGCTTATATCTCGTATGTATGTGATGAATGTTTTGTTGATAAAGTGTGTCGAGCAAGTCGCGGGATTGGCTCTCTCACACAAGCAATCGCCTCGTACGTTAAGAATCGTGAAGAGATGAGACCTTATAGAACCTTGGATAATGCGGGGTTATATTTACTTGTAGAGGTCGTTCTTGATAACTTACGAATTTCACTATTCGATTATGACTTGTTTTGTAAGCCAGATGCGAGCTTCTCTAAGAAGATGGTTTGAGGATTATTGAAGTGAGAAACTCGGGTTAGACACTTGAAGGTGTCTAGACCAAGATCTATACGGTGTTGAATGATTAAAAGAATAAGACACACGCGCCAATATAAGGTGAGAACACCGTAACATGTGTTTCATACCACGTGTGCTATCGACCATGGGATAATGGAAGAATAAATCCCTGCTTCTTCATTGTGTGAGATCCCAAAGAAGTTAGAGTAACTTTTATTGAAATACCCTTTGACCTTTTACTGTCTCTTGAAGTGCCAATCAGTTTTGCTACTTTAGCATGCCACTAATAGCCATGAGTGATTTGTCAATGCAGTGCATGTCTAGGAAAGCAGTTGATTTGGAATGGAAAGATTCGAGTAAAAAGGGAAGACGACTAAAATTTAGTAATTTAACTTGTATTCATAGGTCGACCATTACACTTACCATGAGAGTATTGGGTGTAATTATGGATACAATGTTATATGTGAACTCGAGTTCACCTCTTTTCGAGGATGAGGGATTGGATAACTAGCTACTAGAGTAGCTAACAATGTCTGGGGTATTGCGAGTAATAATAAGATCCTCAGGTAGTAGTGAATCCTTTTCGCATGTGATTGGATTTCTACATAGAGCTATTAAACAACCTTAAAGGGTTTAAGAATATTATGGCTCTTAATGCTCGCAGGTCGCACGAACTATTTGTCAGTATGAATTATGTATGTTGTTTTCATGGTAGTTACTAGTTTGGATCTAGTCCACCTATGCGAAGTGGGAGATGTTGGATATAAGGTTTGGATCGTGGGTCGCCCATGTGGACTGACCCGACCCGTTTTAAAAGAGATAAAACTTAAGGAGGTTACAAACGTATGTTTTATTACTCCTAAAACCAGCGCACGTTATTTTGAGAGACGTAAGAACGAGGAGTGATGGTTTTCATCGGTAGTTTTTCCTATTCCTCTTGTATATATATGTTCTACAGAAGAACTATCAAAGAGCAATGCGTGTGAAAAACTTTCTCTTCTTCTCCCAACAAAAAATCACATACACAGAAAGGAAGGCTTTTAGTTTGTGAATTAAGCTTTGTTTCCTGGTGATTCAAAGTTTTTACTTGAGGCAATTCTTTTGGTGGTGAGTTTAACGGTTTCCGCTGCATCAATAAGGTACACAATTCGTTATTCTTGCCCCTCGTTATTATCTTACAGTAACCATATAAAATGTACATATACCATATACATATATATATATATATATATATATATATATATATATATATTATGTAATTATTTTGTAATTTATTTTTATTGGCTTGCAATTTTAAATATTTTTGGCAGAGCGACCAAATATGTAACTTCCCTTTTTTTGGGTTAGTATTATTAACAATAAATTAAAGGTAACTAATAACAATAAACAAATAAACAATAAATAAGGAAACTATGACATAGCCAAAAGAATGAGAATTCACACTAACAAATGTTTTTGGTTATCTTGTTGTGTACTCGTGCATCTTACACGTTACCATCTTTTCCTCTAATCGTGCAAGCAAGCGATCCAACTAATATGTCAATTTAGAGAGGTTCTTTAAGAGAAAATTAAAGAAGTATATACTCAAGTGCAAGCATTTGTATGCTTAGTAGTCTATTATTATTACTATATTATAATGTTAAGCTACTTCTTACGTATTTGATATCATTTTTATGCAACATAAGAAATTTAGATAACAAAAATACTAACTTTCTTGAAGTAGTTCAAACCATGACTTGGTGTCTATTGGTTTCTTATTCAAACTTATAATTTTATCAGTTGTGAATATATGACTTGGTATGTCTAAAGACATTAAGTTGCTTGTACATTTTTTGGTTCATCTTTTAGTCCACGCATGAATTTAACCAATTAGCTTATAAAATTCTAATTAATTAATTTCGTGCTTCTCATCAGATGACCAGCATAACCAAGACATTACTTTCTTTAATAAAATTTTTAACTTAATTTATTTATTGACTCTTGTAAAAATGGGTGAAGATGACTTTGAAGCTATAAATGGTCTTGGTCTTTCGTGCCCAACCTTAGAAAATTAGGCAAGAATATATACCTTTCTTCAAAGTCTTGAAAATGTTACAAAGCCAGCTTTCAATTAAAGCTGCATCTACTGTAACAATAGCTACAAAGGAAGTTAAGGTGTTTCCTTTTACAAGGATCTCGTAGTGATTCGACCCTGCATCTGTCGTGGTACCTACAACTTGGAAAATCATAATAATAAAATAAAATAAAATAAATATTATCCATCTAGTTATTAGATACTCATATTAGTCGAGGTGGGGATAAATTAACTCTAACACTATTGTTATAAATATAAACAATTATTATTTATTCTTAATTAACAATTAATGTGGGTAAATAGAATTATTTGTAATTAACTTTTACGGGACATAATTATGTAATTATTTTGAGAAGTACCTATAATATTTGTAGAGATTGGCTTGGCAGTTTAGCACCACCTGTGACATTGGAGTTTCATCTTCTAAAGGCTATGATACTTTGTTATTTGTGATCCATCAAATAACCAACTATACCAACCGCCCCTTTCTCTCACCACTTCACCCCGCAAACTACGCTAAGCAACATAAACAAACTAACATTAGAAAAAAAAAAACAGTACAATCTTTGACAAAGACACAGAGATAGAAGAATAATTTTGCAAAGATAAGGGAACAAAGACTTGTAATTTCTTTGCAACGAGTAGAAGTTAGTTTCCTGTGAAAATTCTTTATTTCTGTTTGACAAACAAAACAGGACATGCATGTCACGAATTGGGATTTTTAGCACAACTTGTTGACTCTCATCAGGTAGGTTTTTTTCTTTGATAAATCAACCTGACCCAATAGTCTCTGTTTGTATTTATTGATCGTCTTAATTAATATGTGCACATAAACTTAGCCAGGAATCTTTGTCTTCTCCTTGGTATTTCACCAACCGATTAATTATTCTGTTTGAATTTTTGTTGACAGCTATGCCAATGGTCGGAGATGGAAAAGTTTCTGTTTTGTCAGCAGAGCAGAAGCATTAGTGGATGGCAAAAGATCCACAATTTACAGGGGCCAAATCCCATCTTGAAGTGAGTTTTCTTTCGTTCTCCTGATGCACCAGTTATGGTCATTGTTATGTTGTATTTGGCGAAGTTACGAATATGAAAAACATATTGAATAGAGTTGGTCAGTTTTGAATTTATGAGGAATCTTATGTTTCTGATTTTAGTTATGCCCAAGGAATGATCCCATTGGTTGTGGGGAAGAGGGGGGAGAGCGTATTCATGAGTTATAAACTATTTTTCTTTATAATTTTTGTTTCACATGGGAAGTCGATAGGGAGCTATTTTTGTAGGAGTAACTAATAAGAGAGGTGATCAAGGGCTAAATAAGAAGTTGCCACAGGTGTTGTTCATATGGAAATTAATCAATTTCTTGGTCAGTTTTGCATTGCACTTGCAAGGTGTTATGTTCTCTCCCAAGCCACTCATTCATTGACATTCTATTAACGGCCTTCTTTTTCTTTCGCTGTTGATAAATCTATTTAATCTTATTCATTGAACAACCAAGTTTGTGTGAAAAGTATGAACGCTATTTAATCTTATTCATTGAACAACCAAGTTTGTGTGAAAAGTACGAACGAGGTGAATGAGTGGCTTAATTCGAGGAATTTTCTCATACCTGTAAAAAAACATTACAGTGTTCTGTCTATATTTAGAATTTTATTTTGCATAGCGACCAAAAAGTATCGTAGAGGCTACACCTTTTGGCCTTTTTATCATATCTAATGACGGAATACTGGCTAAACAGATGGGATCACTAGAAGGAAGAGCAGTACTTCAGCTTGAGGATGAGAACCTTGTGAACTCTAAGAATAATGATAGGAGGACATCTTCTATGGATGCCACTCCTCAGATATCAGTTTTCGATGCCGATGCAGACGATGTTAGTTGTAAATGTATGTGGAATAATTTAGTAAGGCAGATGCAAATAGTTTTGTTCTCCAAGAAGTTAAACATGCTTATTCCTTGTGGTCCTCTAGCCATACTTGTTGATGAGTTAACCGATCATCATGTAAGTTGCAAAACGTTTTCCAGTCCAATATCTTCGATTGTTAAAGGAGCTTTACTCACGTTATTTTCCTCTTGTTCTTTCTGTTGTTACTTTTTCAGGGATGGATCTTCTTTCTTAGCTTGTTAGGAATCATACCACTCGCCGAGCGTCTAGGTTGGGCGACAGAGTAATTCTCTAGACCCAGTATCTACAGTACTTTGTACGAGCAAATCATTGAGGAACAAGGGGAATGTATTTGTTTTTGCCAAGGACATATCACCATTTATAATATTTTAGGCTTAGTGTCTGTTAAATGACAGTATAATGGAATTTTGGGCTAGAATGCATTCACACTTATACATGCGAAAATGAATAACTTTTTAATTATGTTCTCTATTAGATTAATAACATGGAACTTCGTATTTGAACAATAAGCTGAAGGTGATCATTTATATAAAAGCTGTTTATGGTATTTACACACTTCATAATTGATGTTTGGTTTTTTCATTTTTGTAGGCAGCTGGCTTTCTATACGGGGCCAACAGGTATTCTTGTGTTTGATTCATATCATAGATGTACATACATATTTTTCATATTCTTGGCTCAAAGTTCGTTTTTCATCTTTATGTGATTATTTATCATAGGACGTTTTGTTGCACTTGTATAATGATCAGCTTTTCAGTGTTAACTTGCTTTCAATTTAGAAACTTTTGTGTTATCTTTGAGCAATATGTGGTTAAAACTTTGCAGTTGGAGGACTTTTAAATGCAACTTTTGGTAACGCAACAGAGCTAATAATATCAATGTATGCACTGAGAAGTGGAATGATTCGCGTGGTTCAGCAGTCATTATTAGGCTCAATTCTGTCTAATACATTACTAGTGCTTGGATGTGCATTTTTTGGTGGTGGACTTGTTCATTCCAGTAAGGATCAGGTTTTTGACAAGGTAGGTTATCTTATAGATGGCCGGAAATCAATATCAGTTTTGTTCAAGCTGTATCTTATGATAGCAACGTATGACATTCTCGGAATTTTCTATGTCAGGGAAACGCAGTAATGAATTCAGGGTTGCTTTTGATGGCAGTTATGGGCCTACTCTTCCCCGCTGTCCTCCATTTTACACACACTGAGGTGCACTTTGGGAAGTCAGAGCTGGCACTTTCCAGGTTTAGCAGCTGCGTAATGCTGGTCGCATATGGTGCAAACCTGTTTTATCAGCTGACTAGTCAGAATAGTCTTTACATGCCAATTGCTGAGGTTGGGGTTCTTTATTTTCTCAGAACTTTTTTGTGTTACATGTTGCTTACCCTAGACACAGAACTGGCTGTCTTTCATCACATTGGAATATCAATGAGAAAATCATTGAGAAAAAATAAACTTGAAAATAAAAAGTTTCAGTTATTAGCATCGCATAAGCCTACTTCTCCTGTTGAATTTTCTGATATATTTCCATAAGAGCAGCCACTACATCTGGTAATCTGAAAGTCAAAAATGTCCCCGCTTGCCTACACAAAAAGCATTTCCTTTTGTTTTCTAAGCTACCAGTAATTTTGGATCATCAGATCTTTGATTCCTCTTACTATTTTTTCTTTCTCGTCTTAAACACTTGTGACGATGTGGAAAATTATGCACTCTTCTGTACATTCTATCAATGGGGAAACCCAAAAGTCCTACAATGGTTAAGTTCCCTCTGTCCTTTATCCCTCGCAGGCTAGGCTGATCATTTGTTAGGTACATTACTCCTCCATTGAGTTTGTTCAGGTTTTCCTAAAAGTTTAATAACGTTCAGGAAGAGGGTGAGAATGACGGGAGCGCAGATGAGGAGGAAGCTCCTGAGATATCAAAATGGGGGTCAATCATATGGCTTTCGATTTTGACACTATGGATTGCGGTCTTGTCAGAGTACCTGGTTAATGCCATAGAGGTAACTTCTTCGTCCTGCGCTACCTATTCTCATTTTCTAATTTGGTGGCATTCTATTAGTAGAATCATCTAATTCTCAATCTGTGACACATTTAAGAAGTGCTAAGACAAACTAAAAAAATATTGTTTCTTTTAGTTTCTGTGCCGATAAACTTTTAACTACGTTTTCAGGGGGCATCAGTTGCTTTGAGTATTCCTGTGTCATTTATAAGTGTCATACTGCTCCCAATTGTTGGAAATGCTGCTGAGCATGCTGGTGCTGTCATGTTTGCTGTCAAAGACAAGCTTGTACATTCTTCTCACTTTTCTTCGTATCAGAACTATAGTATTACTATCACTATTCCTCATTTACCTGGTGCTGTCACAGGACATCTCTTTGGGAGTAGCAATAGGCTCATCAACGCAGATTGCCATGTTTGGGGTAGGTAATTTCAGTTGTTTATGCATGTTAATTACATCAAGGAGAAACTTTAAGCAGGAGTTTACTGTTGAATAGCTGCTTTCTTCAAATAAAATCTGTGTTTATCCATACAACATAGATATATCAGTATGTTTATGCTTTGCAGTTGGCTGCACATCGGACGTCTCATTCAGGAAGACTCTTACCCTAGTTGTAACTGAAATGTAGATGAATTTTGTCATATATGGCCCAACTTTACTTTTGGGACAATCACATAATAGCATCCAACTGAAATTTCGTCCTCACGAGTCATGACACGAAACTTACTTGGTAACCACTTTTCCAAGATACACATTTTGAACCATATGAACTTCCAAGCCAAATAATTAACCGAATTTGTGCTCGTATTGCGTCCATGTTTTTTCCTGAACTAGAATGCCTGTGAGTTGAATTTGTTTGAAAATTCTTATATCAAAGTATCTGTATTTTTAGCTTTCCTAAATATATGGTCTGTTCATAAGCACAGATCTTTTTTCGTGTACATCTTGGTTTTGTTGTTCATTACTGATAAATGTCCTTAGAAGTTTATTTTTTTATTTCAGCATTTTACTTGTTAAATAAGTGTTGGCCTTGACTGTAATCTATATAATCTGGGAGTTTATGACTTGCTTAACCTTTACTATTGGTGCAGATCCCGTTCTGCGTTGTGGTTGGATGGATAATGGGTCGTCCTATGGACTTGAACTTCCAATTATTTGAAACGGCCACACTTTTCATGAGTGTCCTTGTAGTAGCATTCATGCTGCAGGTGTGCTTTTAAACTAGATACTTTAAAGTTTATCTGGTTCTACTTTTCCCCCCTTTCTCTGATGAGTATTCCCTTTTGTTTGCTGGTTTGGGTTGGAAAAGAATTAAACATTATTCTTGTTTTTTTCTAATTGCTTGAAAACTACAATGTCTATAGATGCAATGTATTTGCTTCTAAAAATTGAAGATATTGCAAGTCTTGCGGCGGAGCTTGATGCAGTGTTAAAAAAATATGTCATGTCTTTTATTCTTCCTCCTTTTCTTTCCTTTGTGCTTTGCTTCACTCGTGCGCGGGCTGTGATTTGAAATTAGCTTACAGGCTCCCTCTTGTTCAACTTTTTCTCTTTCCTTTTAACCTTTCCTTTTTCCTGCAGGACGGAACTTCAAATTATTTTAAAGGACTGATGCTCCTTCTCTGCTATCTGATAGTCGCTGCAAGCTTCTTTGTGCATATAGATCCAGAGTCCATACGTAAGTTGTGTTACTCTTTGTGAAATTGCCATGTGGCAGCTCCTGCTCTTCGTTTTATTTACTCTTTTGGTGTTCCTTCTAACCAATAACATCTGTTATTTCACTGTTACGCTAATCTGTTTTGCTTATGATCAGTTACTTTAGCATTTCTTCTGTGATTACGTTAGATAACTAGTTAACCATTTTGGGTCTCGTTAAACGTAGTATTGTATTTATAACAACCTTATCATATATAGTCTCTCCGTTTTAGTTGAGATAAGCAATTCTGTGGATTCAGAAAAATAGAAGGCATGTGTTAAGCAGAATTGCCTTAGGATAAAGCAATGTTCAATTCTCAAGTTCGGAAATTTCTAAGGATACTAACCAGCTTGAATCTGTTCTCTCAGCTATTTCAATTCTAGTATCCTGATTGGTAGCCGCTTCATATGGCAGAATATTCTTCTGCTTCTATCTTTTTCCATGGCAGCAGTAGATAATTGTGACCTTTGATCCTTGTGAGTCGGGATTTTCTCTTTGTGCCGACACCATAAGAACAATCAAAGACTAAACTATTTGTTGATTTAAACTCCTTAGTGAAAGAAACAGCGAGATTACGCAAGACCAAATTCAGGAAGTCAATCTTTCTTTAAATTTATGATACCAGCAATCCCAGTTTCTAAAAGCGCCTTCTGAACACTTGTACATCTATAGTTTTAGTGTGATGGAGATTTACTCCATGTCTCCACCTGAAAGTTCCAACTCTGCTTGTTAGTCTGTTCACTTGTTTAGGTTGAATGACCATGATGTTAGAACTTTTTCTGGTTAGTTGTGCTCTCATATTTTTTGGAATGTAGCTTAGGAGGCATCACATATGATCCCAAATATTGCAGTCATAAAGAGCCAATTGAAATTTCTAGGATGTGCCACACTTCCTGAATGTGTCAACTAAGCAAAATAAACACTGCTTTAGTTCACATGAGGATGTAATCTAAGAGAACCAGCTGAAGGTAAAACATCCTTTTAGTAAGCGGGAATGTTTTGGGGAATACTTGCGTTGAAGTTCTGAATTCAATACCGACATTTAGTCAAGCACACTTGGAATGGTGCTACTTAACCCTTTTCAGTAATTTTCAAAAAGGGCAGCCCGGTGCACAAGGCATCCCCTTCACGCAGGGTTGGGGAAGGATTGCATCCCATGGGGTGTGATGTAGACAGTCTACCCTAATGAGGGAAGAGTTAAAGGGAAGCAACGCGTTTTTCTTGACACTTGAACCTCTGGAACTAGAAGAAGACATCTAGAAATATTCCTGTTCAAATTTAAGTGAAAGTATGCAGTGCATTTCAGGCAATGAGCTGATTAGGAAATCTCAGGAGAGAGATAACATCCCAGAAGAACTTAGAAAGATCAAATATTTTAGCCTTATTCACAGGGGCAGATGGAGTGTTGTGGCGTCGGGTTCGTCTGAACCCAGTACTTTTTATGCAGAACATAAATTTATGTGCAAAAAATGTAGTAAAATTGCAACAACTAGTAGGTCCGAACACATAATTTTAAAATACAATGGATTCAATGCTAAAAACCTTTAAATCCTAATTCCGCTTCTGCTCGTTCATGTCCACTTAACGAAAACACTTGGTTTTCTCATCTTCTACTGCATGTTAGATAGAGCAATTTCAAATGTGAATATATACCATTGTTTGCTATGATGAGGAAATAAAACAGATTTGTCATGTATGGTTAGTGGATTTGAAGCTTCTAATTCTTGAATATTATCCATAGTTTCTTTCCGTTTTTCCTTATATGCACCTCTATGTAGTTAGTTGCGACCTGCTTGATTTTTTTGTTGTAGAGAGTACATGATGTTGTCTATTACTTTTTGCTTTACTGGATACATCATATTTTCAATCCACTTTCATTTTAATCCAATATTTATACCATGGCTTTGCAGAGGACAAGCCCAAAAAACCATGAGTAGTGAACATGGTGGTTTCTGATATTGGCCTGCTAAAGCTGAAGGGCCAGAATACCATTAGATCTGCATATGTTTAAAGAGCCATCTTCAGTTTTGGCCACTCTGAGCTTGAATATCAACGTTCGTTCATCTGCGGATGCTCGGGGTTCTGTGTTGCTACAAATATATTTTTTGAGAAGTTTCTTGCTTTCTAAGTTTTGACTTGCAAGCCGGTGTCAGTAAATTAGGTGTTTTTGTGTGCAGCTGGTGATTTATTCTTTCGCCTGTGAAATAGCTGGATAGTAAAAAGAAAAAATTTCTGTGTTAATACTTAGGAGCTTTAGGTAATTGTTAACGCAAAATTTTTCCTTGTTAACAGCAGAAAATATATATTTTTGTTTTCCTTGAGCAGATCATGAGCGTCTGCGATCATATACTATGTATCATGCTACGAAGAAAAATCATTTGTTGATGATTAATAGTTGCTACATGAGATATTATACTTTTATAGTTTCACCAAAAATAGATAGCAAACGTTCCCCACCCCTATCCACTCTGTTTATTATTACTTGAGCGTTAATATATGGAGTTATTTATATAGTACTGATATTATATATAATTCTATGTATAGATGTGTATGCAATATCATAAGACCAAATGATATATATCATGATCTTAAATGTGATCATCTTAAGAAGAGCATCATAGAATTAACACTTAGCTTTGATTGCTCAAGTTGCCCTCTCATGGAAAAGAATTGCTTTTGTTAGCAACGGTCTTATAAGGATGATGCTTGAAAGCAAGGCTTACGGTTACCCGAAGGAAAGCAAAATAAGCTACTAACATAGCTTCAGGCTTCAAGGAGCAAGTTACCCTCACGACAACATAAAAATTAGCCTTATGAAAGGCAATGTCAGGAAGTCCGACTCTTCAATCGAAAAAAAGACGGTCGTGTTGATGGGTTTACAATGCGTTAGCTTTATGTTTTGATGATCTAACAAACTTACTGTCAAAGAACCAGATAAGGAACCAGACTCACCTGGTACACAACTCAAATCAACGGATTCCAGCTAATGAGAACTGCTACGATTTCAGAAGATAGAGAATCAGCACAGGGACCTGATATCCTGGGACCTGATACCCTTGTGTTTCCCTGACAGCAGTACGAAGTCAACTGTCTACAGCTGGAAAGTGACTGCCTGCACTGTACACAGAACAGTGCAACACAGTTCTGCAGTCACTTTTCTTTTGACCTACCAAGTGATTACATCATTTAAGTGATGTCATCCATGTTGCATTAACATAAAACATTACAACAAAACATCAGTTGGACTCTTGAGAATTAACTTGAGCATTCAAGCACACCAACCGTTCACTGATCAAGCATTCAATTCTCAAGTGCATCGAGAACAAAGAACAACCCTACTACGGACCAGCTCCTAAAGCAAGTATTTTGTTGTCCTTAGTTAAGTTGTAACTTTGTAATTGTTTTTCATTGTAATTCCTACTTTGCTTATCTAGAAGCGTGTTTAGGAACCCCTTGTAAAACCATAAGCCCTTAGTGTTTGTGTCGTGACTAGAGTTAGTCATGAGTTGAAGTCTTTGTAATAGGTGTATTGCAAAGTGTCTTGTAATAGGTGTATTACAAGTTAGTGAGAGATTAAGAGTTTAATTCCTAGATTGTATAGGTTGTAATCTAAAGTTGCTCATAGTGAAGTTGAAATCCTACCAGTGTAGGTCGTGGTTTTTTATCCCCTTGACCAGGGATTTTTTCACGTAAAAACTCCCTGTCTTATTTACTTACTGTTTTATTAGCATTCTCAGTAGAAACTCATAGAGGACCTGGTCTCTATATAGTTTGGTGGACTCATATATTCTATCACGTGTGTAATGTGCTGCCTAGTGACAAATCACCAACTCAAGAGTCCTTCAAAGCCTTGATAATCTACGGAACTAACATGCGGGTTGTATCGGTCAGCTTTGAGCTGTCGTAAGCCAATCAATCGAAAAGACAAGACAAGTCGGCCATCATTCGGCACCTTCCAGTTCCTGATGAATTGAGTCCGCCATCTATTTCACAGTAATCACGAAAAGCAAGCCCTGTGTATCACAAGCAACGTATAACGCGAAATACACATTTGTAGAACAACCACGAAGACATTTTCTGAGAGGCACAAGTTTGTTTCTCCTCTTGCCTTTTCTTAAGTTTTATGATGGAATATGTTTAAGGAGGTTCTAATTAATTAGAGGGCCAATTAATAAAGTTTGATCCTTAATCTATAGTACATCCATCAAAGCAATCAATTGAATGAACAAGATTTGTTGTTATTAAACATCTAAATTTACAACTTCTAATAAATCTGGTCCACAAATTATTTTAAAAAGTTCTACACTCTCCGTTTAAAAAATACTTAACTTTGACTATGAATTTGGACAAAGATTCTTCAAGTTTTTGAAAATAAAATTTATATTTTCGAAAACTTAATAAAATGTACTATAAACCATAATAATTCATAAATCATAATATTTATAAAATATTTAAGAAAAACACGGTCAAAGAACAATCTCGTATACTTCCTAAATAGTAATAGTGCCAACCTTTTTTATGTAGGGAAATGACACCGGAAAATAACAACAACAATAATTCTACAATAATATTTGTGAGTGAAAATACACGAATTGACTTGAGTCGTGTGCTGGCACTATCCTAAGAAACTATTTCAGCAATGTGAAATGTTTCTTCGGGATTAAACAAGCACATCTCTAATTTATTTAGAGGATACAAGAATCAGCATAATATTAAATTACAAACCCAGCTATTTAAAAGATGGAACAAAGAAAGTAGACTACAAAAGTGTAAGGAGAAAAGGAAAAGAAGCTGAAGAGGAACGAAAAGGCAAAGGAAAATGCTGATGATTGATGGCTATTTTGAAGGCCTATTTATAGCCTTTAAATGAAGCTTAGAGCACGACAAGTGCCTTCAATTTCTGATGCAAGAATACCATATGGAAGGATATTTGTCCATTTTTTTCTGGGAAATATCACAACATTTGAAACACAGGGAGTACATATTTCTGTCATCGGTCGGATTATTACCCGATAATACCGGACTATAAGTTCGAAAATTCCAGGAAAGACATGAAGCGGGAGAAAGTCGATGATATCCTTGAAGCCTAGCTCAAGCAACACAAACAATGACCAAATCAAAGTCGCCCCCTATTGGATAATGAAGTTGCAATGAGCTTACTGATTCAAAGCTCTCATGAGATCTCGTTGGCATGCCTTACCAAATGAAAAGGAAGTTCGTTGACCTTTTACTAAATTGCTACATTAATAGAATAATTAGATAAAATCAAGCTGGGTAAACAAACTAACACCTGGTCTACTTTATATATATATACTACGAAAAGTCTACAACCCAAACATCACAAAAGGCCTATTTAAACTTGTTAAGAGATTGTTTCCTTGGATCATGAGATTAATTAGCAGCATAATTATTTCTGCGGAGAATTAAGTAAAGTCTAAACAGAAATATTATGGCGCGATCCTATGGTGTGGGAGATGGTGGCTCAGCAATTGAGGGCTCGGGGCTGATGATAATGGTTGGAATGGTGGTTATGTCTATTTTAATGATCTCAATGGTCATTTTTGCTTGTGGGGACTCCTCTAACGGCGAAAAAGACGACGACTGGTACTATCGTGGAGGTGGAGGAGGCGGTGGAGCAGGCGGCGGCTGTGGTGGAGGTGGCTGTGGTGGAGGTGGTTGTGGTGATTAAATTATTGTGGATGTGGAGTGATCAAATAGCTTATTCTTGGATATATAGCTTATCTTTTAATTTGGCTTATGTAGATATACGTACATATATGTAACCGGGTAATATTTGCGGATATTACCTTTGCATGCATGGAGTCTCTAACAGCTTGTTTGGATGGTTGTTATCTATCGTATCATATTGTTACTTTAAATACACTGTTTGTTTTGATTGTTACTTAAATTTTATTGTATCATATCGTTAAATCCGTCGTTACGTAACGATGAAATGTGCCACTTTATGTAACGACCGATTTGGTGTGGTCGCATCGTTTCCTTGTGTTTTTCTCTCAATCTCACCCTTCATTATTATTAAATAATTTTATTTTATCATTTACCTACCTTTTTATATACCGTATCATAATTTTTCTTTATAATATTGCAAGTTTATTCATCATATCACAGGTGCGTGATACCATGAAACGACGCCAAAACGACACAATCCATCCAAACATTGTATTAATCAAACGATATAGTACAATACAATACAATACGATACGATACATTATGAAACGATACGTAACAACCATCCAAACAAGCTGTAAGAAACATTAGAACCCGCGACATGCAATTTAGATGATGTTTAGATTAAAGTTCAATGCCAACTTCAAGTTCTTGTCTTAAACAATAGTGTATTACTCTTTTAAATGATTCAAATCACCCTAATAAAAAGTCACAAGTAAAATATATTCATAGAAGAAATCTATTTGTATTTTACCCACAAGTAAAATACATTCAACACTATGTTTTTACAAGAAATCTATCAAATTAGAGAGAGAATGAAATGAGGCGTTGATCATTCGCTTATAGTTTCATTAATCTCAGCACTCTCAAGTCTTAACTATCTCATTATCTAAAAAATTAGGTATCATCACCTCTATTTGTAAATTACATGCTTCATGTTTTTGTATAAAACTCGTATTGATCAATATATTTCATAAATTACTTTGGGAAGAAAAGACCTTGAAAGAAAATAAAAAAAAATGGAAGAAAACCTAGGAATAAACTCGTTATAAATATATATATTTCTGTTTAACGAGTTTATTCCTAGGTTTTCTTAGAGATTCTTTCCCAGAATTGATGTCTCCCATGACATACTTAATCCTCTATTGTGATTGTAGAGATTCTTCTAGCATTTTTGGCTTATATGCTACATGTTATATTAGAGAAAACACTTTATTATCCTGATGAATTGTGTGTGGCGCTCTGGACAAATTGAGTGTATTAGCTAGGAAAGAACATAGATTTTCAAGATATAATTTGAAGCTTTATTTGATTCGACGACATAGATTGCAAATGATTGGCAAACAAAGTAAAAAACGAGATGCAGCTTTGGTTTTTATTATTAAGACGGTAGCGAACAGCAAAGCTAGGAGTCAACTTGCGGGATGCACGTTCCCAAGTAATTGATTAGCATGTCTATTTTTTTTTTTTTTTTTTTTTTTGCTGGGAACAAGCATTTTATTTATTGAAGATGAGTTACAACATAGAAGGGATGGAACGTAGAGTTCCAGTACCCTTTGAGTCCAAAAGTAAGTACGGTAGTACAAAAGATGGGGGGTATCAAAAAGTAGAACATCAGTGTGTTGTGAGAGGCACAACTTCTTCCCAAAATGTGCTAGAGCATTTGCAACAGTATTACCCTCCCGGTAGATGTGGTTGATCTGGGGCACATGCAAGTCATGCAACATCAACCT